TTTAAATGTAAGAGTGCATTATAAAAGACAATAGAGGGCCAACATGTTAACTATGCAGTTAATCCATTCAACTATTACGTGTTTCTAGGCCTGTCACGATAATTAATTTTGTTGGACGAAACATTTTCCTGGACATTATTGCGATAAACGATAATATTGTCGGCACTGTTGTCAGACCATTTTAGACCACTGACATAATGATGATATATAATAATAATTCAAGTACATCCTTTCAAACTGAACTTTGTATTGAACATTCAACATTGCAAATGAAATGTGAAATAATATTAAAATATATAAATGATATATAATAAATAAAACTAATTAATTAAATCACACACAACCAAAACAATCAATGAAATAGACTCAGGCTGGAAAACAGAGCTCTCTCTCTCTCTCTCTCTCTCTCTCTCTCTCGCTCTCTCTCTCGCTCTCTCTCTTCTCTCTCTCTCTCTCTCTCTCTCTCTCTCTCTCTCTCTCTCTCTCTCTCTCTCCTCTCTCTCTCTCTCTCTCTCTCTCTCTCTCTCTTAAAACAGCAGTCAAGTGTACAGTCCACTGTCCAGACAAAGACCCAGATGTCTCAACAGGCCATATCCAAATCTGTATTTCAAAGTTTTCGAGCAAGGAACACCAACATGTTTGCATTGTCGGGCAAATGCATGTTTGATTGCAAACTGTCGGGAAGGTGAGGGCTCTCCATCTCCAGCTGCCGTGTTTGCTCCCTGCTGGGAAAACGGGATGGGGTTTTGTGTTTTAGGTGTAGTTTAAAATGTGTGGTATTGCCTGCTTTTGTCACTACCTTTTTTAAACAAATGCGACACACCGCCCGGCTCATTCAAGTCTGTAGGTTTGCCTCGTTCATTTGGCTTGAATCCAAAATACTGCCACACCGGAGAATCGAGATGTGTAGTCCACAGCGGGTGGAGCTGCAGGAGTTCTGCTTCACACACGTTGCATACCGCTATTTTCATTGTCATTTCCGGACACCTTAAAATACTGCCAGACCCGTGAAGCCATTTTGGCGAGCTTGTTTTGCCGCACACAGAGAAAAGTGTCATGTATTTTACGTCATCATTTTACGTCATGCGATCGGCTCTCGCGATCTGCATTGTTAGGGAGCACCGATCGATCGGCAGAGAGTGAGTATCGGCCGATATCGATCGATCGGAGCATCCCTAATTGACACCTACAAATTGAACCATAAAAGTTATTTTAAAAAAAAGGATCTGTACCCATGAGTCAGTGCTGAAGTGATGACTCTCAAAGTGTTCACTGCACAGGCGAGAAGAAACTTTGGGAGTCCATTTATTTCTCCGGATGTTCAGCACCCACTGGCCCAGCCTGTCTGGATCACCTAAAGGAAACCTTTATACAAACATACATGAAAAGTTATATGTTAGGTGTGTAGGGTTACAGACTGCTTAACAAGCAAAACATAGAACTTAAATTAGTGATGCAATGCTGAAATGTAAAAATGTGACAGTCAAAAAGCTTAGGTGTTTTAATGCCATATTCACTTAATAACGCATGAGTTGGTAAATGTCATCTACGTTGCACCTGCTGAAATACATGCATACCAAGTTACTGCGTGGCATTTTGGTTTTGATAAAACAGTGTAGTTCCACTATATAAACACATTCATAATCAAACGAGACAATCTGCAAGATAATTAGCTAATTGTTGTTATTCTTAATGCTTGTCATCACGTTAATAAAATAAAAATGATTGGTGTTGAAACACGATGTTCAGCTTAATAAGCCTTGTTCAACATAATTTATTTTGCTAATACTACAGCGGGCTGCAGGCGAACCAAGTCCGCGCTTCGCTGCATTCCTTGATCTCCAGTTATAACGCCGGACTCCACCGCCCGGAGCTAACGGAGCCGCAGGGGGCTCCGGGACGCTCCGTTAGCTCCGGCCGGCGGAGTGTATATACACACATGTATAAATGGTTATGTCCTTAGCTGGCTAATAAGCTACATAACAAGCTAAGCTAACAAGCACACAAACACCTGCTAACATGTATAATATTATCATTTTATTCACCGAAAAAAGCTGAGAGTAGACTTCTTGGAAGTTCTGTTAGTACCATCAACCGCACAGCACGACATTTTATTGTCTGGTAATTGTAACAACATTCCCTAAAAGGCACAATCACCACGAACACGGCTAAAGGGTCAAGTACAGTAACTACAACTAGCTAACGTTGTAGCCTAGCAGAGTGGACAGTGAGGCACCTACCTGTCCATCAAAGTGACCACGCCCTAATTTATGCAAAAACATTAAGACCTAATATAAATAAAAGGGTCGCGTTATAAAACAATTCACTCAACAATTAATAATCCTGAATGTGGAATCTAACTATATCCCGAATAATTTTTATTGCATCCAGGGGTAGAAACATGTTTATTTCTGCTGTAAAGTTGGGCATTTTAACATGAGGGTCTATGGAAATTGCTCCTTTCTGCAGTCATCGCCTATCGGCCAATAGATGAACTGCGGCTCTGCCCAACCCAACATCGGACAAGGCTGTCCTGTAAAAATACAAGTCAAGGCTAAGTTTCAAGGCTAAGTTTCAACACAGCTGCAACTTTGTCATATCCCAATCAATGCTGTGTGTAAAGTTATAGCGTTATATTTCTGGCTCGGTTTACTTATAACACCGGTCACCTCACCATCAAAATGCATTATTAACGCCTTCAGGTGCTTGAACATAAATTCGACGCCATCTGTAGCTAAGCTAGCAAAGCTAACTGCTAAAAGCTAGTTAGCGGTGTTAGCTAAAAGCTAACACCGAGCCTTCGCAGCAGCTGGCCCTAGGCTCTGGAACACTCTGCCCCTCCATGTGAGGTCGGCCCAGACCCTAGGGGGTTTTAAAACTAAACTAAAAACACATTTCTTCTCTCTGGCCTTCTAGTCAGAGCGGAGCACGACTCCTGACTTTTCCGTGTGTTTTATTTTTATTTTGTTTTTAAGATATATCTGTTGTAATTTATTGTCGTTTATTGTGATTTGTAGTAATGTGTTTTTTATTACATGTACAGCACTTTGGCTCGACCAAAAATCGCTTTTAAATGTGCTTTATAAATAAAACCTGATTTGATTTGATTTGATAACTGTGGTGAACTCATTGATCTATCTTTTGGTTGAAATAGTATAGTGCACTTTACTGTTAACATTCCTTGTTAGGTAAAACACACACTTACCTGATTAGGCAAACGAGGTAGACAAATGTCCCAAGAATCCCCAACTTCACATCCAAAATCAGCCACAGTGGATGTTTCTGTCCGCAAAAAGTCTGACAAATGCTCTCAGCGCCGCTCAGAGACAGTGACGGCCGGGACCCTGCTCAGACCCTGCGGAAACCCCGTAGACGACAGCAATGCGCAAGCGCGCAGTCGTCTGGGTTTCCATGGAGGAAAATGTGACTGCAACGGTCTTAACTAAAAGATCCTTGTTATACTGTGTTTTAAATACAAGTAGGGGAGGGGAGCAGTTGAGCAATCTGATTAGACTGAGTATTTGAGATTGATGATTTAATATCGCCACTTATCTCTCCTGGAATTGCACTAATTGATTAATTGACTAATCTGTGAAGTCTCTCTGTTTTAACATCAGGACTTTATTGTTGCAGTAACATGAAGTCACCACTAGAGGGTGCTGCTGTCTCTAATAAAGCATGTGTGTGTGTGTGTGTGTGTGTGTGTGTGTGTGTGTGTGTGTGTGTGTGTGTGTGTGTGTGTGTGTGTGTGTGTGTGTGTGTGTGTGTGTGTGTGTGTGGTACAGAGTATAGAGGCTTTAATCCTAATTCTAAAATCAAGTATTTGAACACAAGTGTTTTAATGCACACATTTAAAGCATGCAAATAGGAAAGCAGAAGTAAATATAATTCAATTCAAAAAGCACTTTTATATCTATATATATATTAAAAGTAATACAAAAAAACATATATATTACAAAGCAAGGAGTGAGTTTAAAAGCCTGGCTTATTTTATTTTTAATAAAACTAAAATACAAAATGTGTGTGAAATGTTTTTTTCTACAGACTGATCCTCTGACTCCTGATGTTTCTCTCACAGCCGACATGTGTCAGAGTCTGAGGACAAACATCATCACTGCAGTCAGGATATCATCTCTCACACACACACACACACACACACACACACACACACACACACACACACACACACACACATACACTCACACACACTCACACACACACACACCCTATGTAACTGGAGAGAGTAACCAGTGACCGTGTGAATTGTTCACTCAGCAGAAGACCCTCAGACTCCTCGGGCTCTTTCTCCTGAAATCAGACCCTATGAGCAGAAACAGAGTCATGGAGCTGCTGATTGATTTGAATGATGATCCTCTCATTGAGCACGGATTGTGACTCACAGGGACAGTTAGAGTTGATGCTGAATGTGAACTCTTCCTGTCTTTCTAACACAGACAGTGTGAAAGGAGACCACCTCCTGATTGGTGGAGGTTTCTTTGTGCCAACAGTGATTTTGACTTCAATCACAAATCTACTTCCGTTAGAAAACATGTGCATAATTAAAACACATGCATGTAAAGCTCAGCTGACCCTCACCTCTCATTTTCTGATGCTCAGAATATTCTAGCATGATTATTGATCCTGCAGGAAAGCAGCCTTCATCACTGGAGGATGCATGATGCTGCATATTGGAGAGGAAGAGAGAGGAAGAGAGGAGAGGGTGGAGCTGCTGGAGTCTCTCGTCTCACACCATCTGTCTCTGAAGAGGAGGAGGAAGAGGCTCCTCCCCCTGCAGCCGGTCTGTGTGAAGTTGAGCTCCAGTCTGCTCCTCCTCTTATTGCACCTCCTTATTCTCCTCCTGCACCTCCTTATTGCACCTCCTTATTCTCCTCCTTCTCCTCCTCCTGCACCTCCTTTATGCTGTGACTCCGCTCCTCTCTCCTCCTCCACCAGAAGAGAGGCAGGGATGCAGAGATCCGCTGCGGGAAAGAGGAGTCTGCAGCCCGGATCCACAGCTCAGAAACCCCGCTGAGAGACAGACTGCCGGTCCATAGATCAAGGTAAGAAACCCCCTCTTCCTCCTCCTCTTCCTCCTCCTCCTCCTCCTCTCTCCTGCTGTATTCAACCTGCAGATATGTAATGTCCTGCAGGAACAATGCTGCAGTGGCTGGAGAACAGATCGATAGAGCAGCATTATCATCGTTTCGTCTTATTGTGAACATGATGCTTTTCATCGCTGCAGAAACACTTGATAAGGTTTTTATTTGATGCATATTCATGTGCTCACAATACCACAGATATTACAAATGATATGCTTTTTTTAAATGATTATCAGTGAGCATTGAGGTCTGTGTGAAAGCAGAGTCGACACAAGGATACATTTGTGAGTTTTTTATTTGTATTTTAAGCTCAACAAACTTCAAGCTGGTATCTGATCCTGGTAAAATAATACGATGAAATGTCAAATATACCCGATGTTATTGGGGTTGTTTGCCCAGATATAGACGTTAATGTTTTATCAGCAGCTTCAGTGGAGATATGACAATGACCAACTGAAGTCCTCCTCCAACAGAGCAACATGAATATGTAGGACACAGACCAAATAAAACAGATAAAACATATGGAATAGTGCAAGAGAAGAGATAATATTGGTGGAAACAACTAATATTCTGAGGAGAAATCTGCAAAATGTGAAGTCTGAAATAAAAATAAAGCTGTAAGAGCACTTCTGCTTAGTGCTGCTAAATCATAACTTATTTTAAATTGACTTATGAGGTTTATTTTAGTAACTGTGGTTAGTTTTCAATCTAAAAACTGCATTTCCTAAAAAACGCGATTTTGTGTATGTCCCTCTTCGGCCCCCGTAGAATGGGCGATCAGGTGTCTAAGCTGAAGCAGTTGAGTTCATCCGACATGGAGGAGCAGAGATTCTTCCAGAACCAGAACCAGGACTACGTGGACCAGGCAGGGTCTGGTTCTGGATCCGAGGAGAGAGCCAACGAGCCGCTGGACGAGGAGGGCAAGGTGAGGAGCTCCGGAGCCGCTTTATAACACCTTATATCGGGGTTAACGACGAGCTAACAGGCTAAGGAGCTAACACCATGCTAACAGGCTAACAGCTGGGCTAGCTCAGGTTTGTTATGGTTTCAGAATCCTTCATTAGTCCTGCAGAGGGGACAGTGTTACAGCCACGTGAAGACCACTGTTAGATAAAGAGCATGCATATAGTATTTCAAATAGTAGTACAGAATAGAAGCAGTTAGAGCAGAGGTTCATGTCTGTAACTTGTTTCTGTTCCTCAGGTGAGCGCTTCCTTCCAGAAGAAGGTCCAGAGTAAGATTAAAGACCTGCTGCAGCAGATGGAGGAAGGTCTGAAGACAGCCGACCCTCACGACTTCTCCACCTACACCGGCTGGACAGGTGAGTCAGCACGATACACCTGTGAACAAACCTTTGTTATAAGAAGTTTGATGAACAGTTCTTTCTCAAAATAAAAGCCCCAGGAATCAACAATATGGCGACTGCTATCAAAACCGACTAAGCATTGGACATTTTACATTAATGATGTGACCACCTATGTTTCCTGTAGTTATTGAATTGCTCTTTTTACTGCACATTTACATGACAACACAACAACATGTGGGCCCAGGTGGTCGTCCTATCTATATAGCGCTTTTCTAGAAACTCAAAGACACTATAAGACAATAAGCAAAACTCACACCCTACAAAGAACAGTTGGGTGTTCAGATACCCCGCTAGAGAACATTTCTTCCCCCTGGCCTTCCTGTAGAGTCATACAACCCTTGGTGAACACATCTGTTATGATAACAGCAGCTGGTATGTGTGATAACAGTGTTATCACACATACCAGCCGCGGCGCCAGGATTTCAATTGTGGGTGGGCCAATGTAATTTCGGCTGGGCCTGTTCTAATAGATGTTTCTCGTTAACAAAAATGTAATAAAAATAAATGCCTGCATATCATTGTAGGCAACTGTGTAATGCATATTTCCTATAGTAAAGACACTTTTTCAAAACCCTTCTCTTTTAAACATTTTCACTTATGAGAAGCTTAAATATTATTTAAATGATTAAGCGGCACGCTGCAATGAGTGAAAATAAATGTTATACTGCATGTTATTTAGTTTTGGTTCACAATACATTGATACGTTTAGAAACAAAGAGCATACAACGGCAGAATATGGAATAATGAGCGAGCACCTGATGTGTGTCTGTGTGGTTAGACCCTGATGTGTGTCTGTGTGGTTAGACCCTGATGTGTGTCTGTGTGGTTAGACCCTGATGTGTGTCTGTGTGGTTAGACCCTGATGTGTGTCTGTGTGGTTAGACCCTGATGTGTGTCTGTGTGGTTAGACCCTGATGTGTGTCTGTGTGGTTAGACCCTGATGTGTGTCTGTGTGGTTAGACCCTGATGTGTGTCTGTGTGGTTAGACCGCAGCCTGCTGTCCTTTAGCGGATCTAGCGAAGTGAGCGGCCGTGCGTAAAAGGCACTGGTTCTCTGACGCTGCACTTTTCAGAGGCTGCAGATTTATCACTAGCTACTTCCTTCTGATACTGCAGAACTTTCATGAGCTGAAGGTCTATACGTTTCATCCTAAAGCAGCTGGGCAGCAGATACTGTTGCTTCACACTCATAAGCTTTGCTGATGTGGGCTGGAGAATGCCTGCCGCGTCTGGGTGCGCTCTGGTAGTTGCAAATGGCATGACATTTTAGCTCTACGTTTCTTAATCATTTCCCTAGATATTTAGTCTCAATATGAAATGAGGAATCTCTTGCTTTGCACACGTGACAATTATGTCCGGTAAAACTTTACGTGTTCCCGATTTTTCTCAATGATCTCTCCCTGTCGGCCCTCTGGGTTGAGTAGCTGATGGAGGATGGTTCCATGGTCAGATTTCTCGCACTGTCTGTAGTTTGTATTTCTCTCCATAGCTATTGCATGAGCTGCGCTGCATTCGTGTTTACTGAGAGCATAGTCGATATGTTTCCAGTCCCTGTAACCATGGCGACTGAATGTATCTTCTCCGCCGGCCGCGCCTCTCACTAAAATGCCGGCACATTTTACAAAACACACTGTCCTTGCTAATGCTATACTCCAAGAATGTGTTCTTGTCATACCAGTGGGCAGCGGAGCTCCTTTTCTTTTGTCCGAAAAGTGTCTGAGGGTACTTTATGAGCTTTGGCTGTGTAGCCGCCGGGTCATCTATGGCTGAGAGGTCCGGCACTGGGATGCTATTTTCTGTTGACCTGCAACGAGTGCTACGTCCCGCAGAGGGACTGAGCTCAGCGGGGCACAACATTAAACACACTCTCGTCTCTCTGAGGCGGCACCTGCTGTGAGGATGACTCTTCTTACTCTTTCAAATGAAAACCTGAACATCGATTGTTGTGACATCGTTAGTGAGTGCGGTATATTTTTTGTGTCTGTCCAGTCCACTGTCCTCCATCTGCGCACGCCCGCGAGACGTTCTACGATGTGTTTGCTCCAGCGCTTCCACTATGAGTTCGGTCCAAATTCACATTTTACGTTGCCTGATTACATTCATTCATGTTGCTTTTAATTTTCTAAGTTTTTTTAAAGGGAAACACATGTTTGCTCTTATTTTATTATGTAATCGTTAGTTTTGATAATCAAAAATAAAAATGTTGGAAAATATATTTTCGCCCAGTCATTTTTGATCAATGAATGGGTGGGCCCAGTGACAGAGTGGGTGGGCCTAGGCCCAGTAGGCCCACCCATAACGCCGCGGCTGACACATACATTGATATGCCATTCCCAGGATACAGCAGTTACATTTCATTAGGATTACGCTGTAATAAGCTTTGATACCATCATTGCCATAACATGTGTGTCCAGGCATCGCCCTGCTGTACCTGTTATGTGACCCTCTATGTTTCTTGTAGTTATTTAACTGTAAGTCCTAATATAAAGTCTCTAATCCCTGAGTTGTGTCTATAAGTAAATAAAATAAAATAGAATATAATTGAAATAGTGCAGAATAGTCTATATACAAGTAATTGGAATATTGATATTTATGAGTTGCAAACAGATGAATGTTATGGATGTTCTTTCAAAAGTTCAGGTGTTTATGTGACCGTCTATGTTTATTATTATTATTATTATTATTATTATTATCTTATCTTAGACTGTAAATACTAATCTAACCCCTGAGTGTTGTCTGCAGGCATCGCCCTGCTGTACCTGCAGCTGCACCGCTGCTCCCAGGAATCCTCCCACCTGCAGAGGGCGCTGGACTACGTGAAGCGAACCCTCCGGATCCTGAACGGGCGTAAGGTCTCCTTCCTGTGTGGAGACGCAGGCCCTCTGGCTGTGGGAGCTGTGGTTCATCACAAGCTGAGGAACACTGAGGAGAGCCAGGACTGCCTGAACAGGTGAGAGGACACCTGGGGTTAAAGGCTCCGATTGTGCTGTTTTTAGGCATATATTACAGGTCTCAGATATATAAACATATTTCAAAAACAAACTGAAGTGTTTTGCTCAAAATACCAAACAGATCATCACAGATCAGTTCCTTTTGATTTCCTGCTTCTTCACACACACTCTCTCCAGTACAGGTTAGCTCTGAGTGTTAGCATGCTAATGTAAACACAGACCATATTACTTCCAGAATACGTCTCATTGTTTCTGACAGCAACGTTTCTGATTGGCCCGTGGGTGTAAAGCCCGCCCACATTTTAGTAATGTCGTCATGACGCAGCAAATCTGGATCAGCTCCGTTGTTCCCCCGTTTTTAGAGATGTGGGTACGGAGGAAAATAGAGAGGGGTTTATTTCTGACACTTTGAGAGTCTCCTGACACACCGGGGACACATGGGGACACACCGGGGACACACCGGGGACACACCAGGGACACACCAGGGACACATGGGGACACACCGGGGACACACCGGGGACACACCGGGGACACACCGGGGACACATGGGGACACACCGGGGGACACACCGGGGACACACCGGGGGACACACCAGGGACACATGGGGACACACCGGGGACACACCGGGACACACCGGGGACACACCGGGGGACACAACGGGGGACACACGGGGGACACACCGGGGGACACACCGGGGGACACACCGGGGACACATGGGGGGACACATGGGGGGACACACAGGGGGACACACGGGGGACACACCGGGGACACACCGGGGACACACCGGGGACACATGGGGGGACACACGGGGGACACACGGGGGACACACCGGGGACACATGGGGGGGACACACGGGGGGACACACGGGGGGACACACCGGGGACACACCGGGGGACACACCGGGGGACACACGGGGGACACACCGGGGGACACACCGGGGACACACCGGGGACACATGGGGGGACACACCGGGGACACATGGGGGGACACACCGGGGGACACATGGGGACACACCGGGGACACACCGGGGACACACCGGGGGACACACCGGGGGACACACGGGGGACACACCGGGGGACACATGGGGGGACACACCGGGGGACACATGGGGGGACACACCGGGGGACACACCGGGGACACACCCGGGGACACACGGGGGGACACACCGGGGGACACACCGGGGACACACCGGGGGACACATGGGGGGACACACCGGGGACACATGGGGGGACACACCGGGGGACACACGGGGGGACACACCGGGGGACACACCGGGGACACACCGGGGACACACCGGGGGACACACGGGGGGACACACCGGGGACACACGGGGGACACATGGGGACACACGGGGGGACACACGGGGGACACACGGGGGGACACATGGTGATGTAGAAAAGACATCAAAAAGTGCATTTTGTGTGTGTGTGTGTGTGTGTGTGTGTGTGTGTGTGTGTGTGTGTGTGTGTGTGTGTGTGTGTGTGTGTGTGTGTGTGTGTGTGTGTGTGTGTGTGTGTGTGTGTGTGTGTGTGTGTGTGTGGTGTGTGTGTGTGTGTGTGTGTGTGTGTGTGTGTGTGTGTGTGTGTGTGTGTGTGTGTGTGTGTGTGTGTGTGTGTGTGTGTGTGTGTGTGTGTGTGTGTGCTCTAACAGGCTACTTCCATTCATCCAGTTGCATGACATGAAATTGTAAAATAAAAACACATTTTGTAATTTTATTTTGCTAAAATCTTTTGCATAATTTCGAGTTTATTGATCAATAGAACTGCAGAAAATGACCTTCATTCTTTTGATCCGAGCTGTGCAGAGAGGAGGCGTTATCAATAGATACATGTGATAAAAGATCACATAGTGTGTGTGTGTGTGTGTGTGTGTGTGTGTGTGTGTGTGTGTGTGTGTGTGTGTAGGCTGGTGCTCCTCCAGAGTTCAGTCCTCAGTGACTCTGAGCTCTCTGATGAACTCCTGTACGGTCGCGCTGGCTTCCTGTTCGCTCTGCTGTACGTCAACAGAGAGATGGGAGAGAACACGGTGGAGGAGAGCACCATCACTCAGGTGAGACACACACACACACACACACACACACACACACACACACACACACACACACACACACACACACACACACACTCACCCTTCTCTCTCTGTGTGTTCAGGTGGTGTCTGCGATCCTGGACTCGGGGAAGTCTCTCTCTCAGGACCAGAAGAAGACGGAGCGCTGTCCTCTGCTGTACGAGTGGCACAGGAAGCAGTACCTGGGAGCGGCTCATGGGCTCACTGGCATCTTCTACATGCTGCTGCAGGTAACACCTGATCTGCAGGTAACACCTGATCTACAGGTAACACCTGATCTGCAGGTAACACCTGATCTACAGGTAACACCTGATCTGCAGGTAACACCTGATCTACAGGTAACACCTGATCTGCAGGTAACACCTGATCTACAGGTAACACCTGATCTGCAGGTAACACCTGATCTACAGGTAACACCTGATCTGCAGGTAACACCTGATCTACAGGTAACACCTGATCTACAGGTAACACCTGATCTACAGGTAACACCTGATCTACAGGTAACACCTGATCTGCAGGTAACACCTGATCTACAGGTAACACCTGATCTGCAGGTAACACCTGATCTACAGGTAACACCTGATCTACAGGTAACACCTGATCTGCAGGTAACACCTGATCTGCAGGTAACACCTGATCTGCAGGTAACACCTGATCATAGTTACACATATTATTGCTAAAGCTGTGTGTAGTTGCAACATCTATATACATATCATATAAACAAACTGCTCAACATTAAGCAACACAGACTCATTTAATTCATATATACATGAATACAAAATAAAATATGATATATATATATAATATATATCAAATGTCTCTCTCTCTCTCTCAGCCTGGAGCCAGAGTCCCGGCTGACGTTCTCTCAGAATTCGTTCGTCCGAGCATCGATTACGTTCGTCATAAGAAGTTTCGTTCAGGGAATTTCCCGTCGTCTCTGACCAACGAGAGCGACCGATTGGTTCAGTGGTGCCACGGAGCGCCGGGGGTCATACACACACTGCTGATGGCCCACCAGGTGAGACACCTGCTGTACACACACCTGTACACACACTGCTGATGGCCCACCAGGTGAGACACCTGCTGTACACACACCTGTACACACTGCTGATGGCCCACCAGGTGAGATGCCTGTACACACACCTGTACACACACTATCACCTGTACACACACTGCTGATGGCCCACCAGGTGAGGTACCTGTACACACACCTGTACACACACTATCACCTGTACACACACTGCTGATGGCCCACCAGGTGAGACACCTGCTGTACACACACCTGTACACACACTGCTGATGGCCCACCAGGTGAGATGCCTGTACACACACCTGTACACACACTATCACCTGTACACACACTGCTGATGGCCCACCAGGTGAGGTACCTGTACACACACTATCTACTGTTAACACACCTGTACACACACTATCAGCTGTTATTACATGGCTTAGTTGAATACTCGATTCTGATTGGTCAATTCAGAACACATGACACGTTGTTAATCCAGAATCCGGTCAATTTATCTGTATACAGTTTGTCTGAAAAGCAAACTGCAGAGCGACAAGAAAGCAGTGGAGAAGTAACGGGGCAGAAACCCTCCTTTTTACGCAGCGGTCCAGACATAGACATCAAACGGCAAAACATATTCAGTGTGCAGTTCCTTTGGCATTAGGGCAGGGGTATCTAGATCCTTCCCAAGGTCTGACATCATGAAGTGTGCTACTTTTAAAGCAAGCAACCATGTTTTCAAATCTGTAATCAAAAAGCTCCTCAAAAACGCTATCGAAGCAGTTCCTGCCGTTGCTACGTTAGTTCAAACGGTAACAACGGACTATTTCTCTTAGCGGATGCACGTCAATTTAAATCAATACAACTATTTTTTAAATCAATAAAATAATTTTCTAAATCCATAAAAGCATTTCAATGAATATTGGGACTCATGTCGTTACTTTGTTGAGAATGTGTGATAACTAAGGGATCTAGATGCTGATCAGCCTCTCGCTGCACATTATCCCTTACTTAATACACCTGTACACACACTCCTCATGGCCCACCAGGTGAGGGGTTACCTGTGAGAGTGTGTCATCTTTTTATTAAACACACTCTTCATCGAGTCTCTGCAGAGCTTGTGAGGAGACTATGACAAAGAGGGAGTTTATAAACCCTCCTCACGGAACACCAGCCATTCATTTGAACAGCCGAGACACACACACACACACACACACACACACACACACACACACACACTCACACTCACACTCACACTCACACTCACACACACCCTCTCTCTGAGAACAAAGCTGATCACTGTCTCTTCTGTTGTTGTTGTTGTTGTTGTTGTTGCATGAAGAGCGTTTCATTTTGCTAATGAATAATTAAAATGACGCACAATCAGTTTGAGACATTTCTCATTTCATGCCTGAGAGTTAAACAGAAATATAAACATGAGACGATGCACGGTGTAACGTTATGTACTATAATGACAGCATGGTGGAAATGACCTTTAACATGCGGGGAGAGAGAGAAACAACAATCTGCTTCTAGAGAACACGACTAACAGAAACGTGGAGACAAGTCTGTCTGCATTTAGAGTGGCATGCAGAGCTGTGATTAGAAATCTTAAAGTGGACCTATCATGCTATGTTATAATAACATAGTGTAGGACCATACCTATATAAGGCATATTTATACTTTTTTCTTTTCAAAATACCAAACAGATCATGCATTTTAGCCATGCCTCATTTTGCTCTATTTGACATTTTCTAGCTCTGTTTTAGCAAGGGCAGATTCAGTGAGAACAGCACCACCTACAGGCCTGGCATATGTACTACAGCGTCTCCAGCGCTTTAGAACGGCAATGGCCGTGGCTGTCTCCTCCTGATTGGTGGAGTTGGCCCAATAGCCGTAGCGCCACCGTCCTGACGTCAGGACAGTGTTCAAATCTGGATCAGTTTTTATCAGATCCGTTGCAGCCCCTTTTTTAGAGATTTGGGTATGGAGGAAAATAGAGAGGGTTGTGTTTTCTGACACTTGGTGAGTTCCCTGGAACACCGGGGACACATATTCATGTAGAAAAGATGTACACAAGTGCATTTTGCATGATAGGTCCCCTTTAAGGTCAAAATGTGGTTATTTGATCTCTTAATATAGATTGTGTTAAAAGCAGTCTGTGCTGCGCTTCACAGTATTAAGGACGACGAGAAGTCAAAGCATGAACAAGCATGGGCTCAAAGTAGACGTCTCACTCAGATCTCTCCTACACAGCGCACAGGATGACAGGAGGCACACAATCAGACTAGCTTCAACATCAAGTCAGCATCTCACATGTTTATCAACTTTTCACATCTATATGCATGTTCTCACCTGTCTCTCTCTCACCTGTCTCTCTCTCACCTGTCTCTCTCTCACCTGTCTCTCTCTCACCTGTCTGTCTCTCACCTGTCTCTCTCTCACCTCTCTCTCACCTGTCTGTCTCTCACCTGTCTGTCTCTCACCTGTCTCTCTCTCAGGTGTTCCAGGAGGAGAAGTACCTGAAGGAGGCATCAGACTGCTCGGAGGTGATCTGGCAGAGAGGTTTCCTGAGGAAAGGATACGGACTCTGCCACGGCACGGCAGGGAACGGATTCATCTTCCTGTCCCTGTACCGGAGGACGAAGGAGAGGAAGCACCTGTACAGGGCCTGCAAGGTGAGGACATTTAAATAGACATATATATATAAATATATATATGTATGTATATATGGCAATATGAAAGAAAAATACACACTCTAATTTAAATAGTTTTTATTAGTAAATAATGATGTTCAAAATAAAATAGTCCCTCTGTTGCCTTCTGCACGAAACATAGTGCGAGGTGGTTGCTATGCAACAACACTAACAGCTAGCGAACATATTCACAACATACTTTTCACAACAAGTCAGTATCCCTCCACGTCTGAGAAAAGCAACAACCGTTACAATTGTTACATTGCGTCCGTTAGGAAACTAACTAACTAACAAAGCTTAAGATGGAAACATGTAAGGGATAATGTGCAGCAAGGACGTATTGACCGTTGTTAAGGACGCTCACATCTGCAGAAAGAAGTCCGGTCGATTTAACTGTATACAGTTGGGCTGAAAAGCAAACTGCATGCTGCTTGCTTTTCAAACTGGGACAAGAAAGCAGCGGAGAAGTAACGGGGCAGAAACCCTCCTTTTTACGCAGCGTCCAGACATAGACTTCAAACGGCAAAACATATTCAGTGTGCAGTTCCTTTGGCATGAGGGCAGGGGTATCTAGATACTTCCCAAGGTCTGACATCATGGATTGTGCTACTTTTAAAGCAAGCAACGATGTTTTCAAATCTGTAATCAAAAAGGTCCGCAAAAACGCTATCGGCCAATCAGATTGCTTGATTTGACTTGTCCGTTTTATAAATATATTTACACATCGTCCGTTACGAAACAAACTTACAAAGCATAAGATGGAAACATTTAAGGTTAACTTGGACCTCCGGGGGGGTCTCACTATGGAGGAGTGGATTGAGGGGGGGGGGGTCTCACTATGGAGGAGTGGATTGAGCAGTGCCTATCTCCAGAAAGCACCTAAACGACGACATGCAGAGCTACGTGAAGAGCAGGTAGACCAACTGGAAAGGTATCACCATTCAAAAGCTTTGTGATGCGGGTCTTGAAACAAAGCAGAGAAATATGGGCTCAGAACAGTCTCATAATACACACATGCACACAGAAGGATTCACACTTGTATTTCATGATCCGCAAAATGATTCACACTTGTATTTCCGGATCCACACTTGTGTTTTTCAATGCACACACAAATGTGTTCCGTTTCATATACATGTAAATAAAATCCAAATACAGAAAAAAGTTTTACATATGTATTTTTGATCCTCACATATTTGTTTTCCGTTTAAAACCGCTGCACCTGCAAACACAAACCGCTTTCTGTGCATGGATCGCTCTGCATTCGTGTGTGGGTTTTTTGAGACTCCCCTGACGGTGACCCGATTCGTACTTGTAATTTTTTCTATCTATAGCCAATCAGATGTCTCCTCAATTCTAAGCCAATCACATGAGCGCGCCCCCACAAGGGTAGATTTCTTGCGTTCATGACGTAGCGCTTCATGTACGCATTTTGCGCTGTCCGGAGCTGACAGGTCCATGGAGCCTGCCTGCAGGCGCTAATCTCAGGACACCTCCACTCTCAGTACATTGCCACTTTCCGATCAGGAAATGCACGCAAATACAAGCCTTTATATTATTAAGGTACAGTGCCACTTTCCGAACCATTAATGAATGCTTGTGTACACAAAAACGGCAGGCAAAACTGTTTTAAATGTGTGTTTCCTGTATGGCGAATACAGCTGCTTTATTGATGTCTGTATGAAGTTGTTGTGAGTGTGGAGGGAGCAGCTACAGGTTAGTTTAGCCTAATCGATCAGTGCACTACGAAGCCAGTGCTAGACAGTGAACTGTCAACGGGGGGAGCCCCGCCGGTCATTATCGGCCGATATTCACTCTTAATAGTTTGATCGGTGCTCTCTATAAAGGCCGATCAGGAGAGGTGGATCTGATCGATATGGACATAAACGCGAGTGAAGTTTTAGCGAGCTGCATGAGAAACTGACGGGCTGTCAGGAGAGAGGGAGGGAGAGAGGAAAAGAGATGATCCTTACTCCCGTGTTATTATCCGGTCATAGTCCGGTAATTCCCTAACGGAAACGCTGCTACACAATTATTATTATTATTATTATTGAAACATGACCGGTAAGTTTCAAATTTGTCCGGTAAAATTAAATTCTGTCCGCGGAAACCCAGCTCCGGACTACGCAAAATGCGTATATGAAGTGACATGAACGCAAGAAATCTACCCTCGTGGGGGCGCGCTCATGTGATTGGCTTAGAATTGAGGAGACATCTGATTGGCTATAGATAGAAAAAATTACAAGTACGAATCGGGTGACCGTCAGGGGAGTCTCAAAAAACCCACACACGAATGCAGAGCGATCCATGCACAGAAAGCGGTTTGTGTTTGTAGGTTCAGGGGATTTAAACGGAAAACAAATATGTGAGGATCAAAAATACATATTTAAAACTTTTTTCTGTATTTGGATTTTATTTACATGTATATGAAACGGAACACATTTGTGTGTGCATTGAAAAACACAAGTGTGGATCCGGAAATACAAGTGTGAATCATTTTGTGGATCATGAAATACAAGTGTGAATCCTTCTGTGTGCATGTGTGTATTATGAGACTGTTCTGAGCCCATAGAGAAATGATGACCGTTAGTGGCCACAGGTGAGAAAGCTCTCTCCAGAGCTACTGGAAGCCCAATCTCTGGGACCGGAGAAAGTGGAGCAATATTCTCTCCACGCCAAGCAACAGCCTAGAACAACCTCAGCCTATACAAGTAACCACGTAAGCCATGCTGCTGATGCTGGACAGGTTTTCAGAGGCTGCACAATAAACAACAACATACACATGAATGTAAATAAATAGCCAAATAATGGATCAACGCTCTCTGTCTAATATGTTCGCTAGCTGTTAGTGTTGTTGCATAGCAACCACCTCGCACTATGTTTCGTGCAGAAGGCAACGGAGGGACTATTTTATTTTGAACATCATTATTTACTAATAAAAACTATTTAAATTAGAGTGTGTATTTTTCTTTCATATTGCCACACTTGGTAACCGTTTTATAAAAGCAATAGCTCACTTCAGGCTGTGATATATATTATATCACAGCTGAGGGTCGAACCACGGTTCGACCCTCCGCTTCGCGTCGGGCCGAACCACGGCCCTTAGCTGTGATATAAGGAGCATATACCACGGCCTGTCGTGAGCTATTGCTTAATTATCCCTTACATGTTTCCATCTTGAGCTTTGTTAGTTAGTTAGTTTCGTAACGGACGTAATGTAACAGCTGTAACGGTTGTAGCTTTTCTCAGACGCGAAGGGATACTGACTTGTTGTGAAAAGTTGCTGCAGTCTCAGGGCGGTTGTCAGTCAGGAAGCAGCTCTGTTTCCAGAATAAAAGCAGCAGGAGACTCCCTTCAGATTTATTATCCTGCATCTTCCAGAATGTTTTTATTGATGACGGACATTTTTCTGTGACCAGTGTTTCTGATTTTTTGCAGAACTAAGTCTCAGTCCTGCAGCGCTGTGAACCAAAGTTGGTGTAGGAAGAGAAAATCTTATCAGAAAATCACAATTCATGTTTTTCCTAACATGCAGCTGCATTAGCAAACAATCCATCATGCTGGCCTTCTCTGTCTCTCAGTCCTGCAGCGCTGTGAACGGTGTTATTCGGGAGTGGAGATGCAGAACACTTATTCCACTTTAAAGTCTAGCAGAGAAATCCATCAGGGTTCAGGGTCCAAGAGGGTTTTCTGTAGAAGGAGTTGTAGATGTGTGTGACATGTCAAGTCAATCACAATGACAGTGAGGGGGGGCGGCCTTTAAATGCTTTCACTTACTTCGCCCAATCAGAATCCTTCATTCGTCCTGCAGCGGAAAATATATAGCGATTAAAGACAAGTGCATTTGATATAAAGAGACAGCAGGCATGCATCAGGACAACCAGTGCACATACGGCCTGTAGCAGGATTTCAAAGCAGAAAGTGGGCATGTGAAAGTAATGAAGGGTCAGAACATGTTATTCTGTCATCAGACTAAATGAGGTCCTTAATGTGTGTTTTCCTCAGTTTGCAGAGTGGTGTCTGGACTACGGGACTCACGGCTGCCGGATCCCAGACAGACCCTACTCTCTGTTCGAGGGTAAAACTCTTTCAAACACCTCCGTTAAAATGTGATAATATCATCTGTCGATCAGCAGCAGCAGCTCTGTGGTGAGAGCAGTCAGTCCGTCACAAACACCAGCAGAGGTACCATACATGAGATCAAAACACTGATATTTGATGATTTATTGACCTTATTTTACTAAAATATGGGAAGAAAATGTGTCTCATAATGCAAACTGAATTCAATTAGGATTTAGGATTTAAAATCAATAACCCTGAGGTAATTGCACACTAAATGTTAATAATATCCTACTTTTAAATGTTGTTCGCTGTAGTTAAAGGTCCCATGTCATGGCCATTTCCACGGATCATGATTCCATTGTTGAGGTCTACTAGAATAGATTTATATTGTGCATTGTTCCAAACTCACATTGGTTTCTCATACAGCATCTCTCCAAACTCACATTGGTTTCTCAAACAGCATCTCTCCAAACTCACATTGGTTTCTCATCCAGCATCTCTCCAAACTCACATTGGTTTCTCATACAGCATCTCTCCAAACTCACATTGGTTTCTCATACAGCATCTCTCCAAACTCACATTGGTTTCTCATACAGCATCTCTCCAAACTCACATTGGTTTCTCATCCAGCATCTCTCCAAACTCACATTGGTTTCTCATACAGCATCTCTCCAAACTCACATTGGTTTCTCATCCAGCATCTCTCCAAACTCACATTGGTTTCTCATACAGCATCTCTCCAAACTCACATTGGTTTCTCATACAGCATCTCTCCAAACTCACATTGGTTTCTCAAACAGCATCTCTCCAAACTCACATTGGTTTCTCATACAGCATCTCTCCAAACTCACATTGGTTTCTCAAACAGCATCTCTCCAAACTCACATTGGTTTCTCATACAGCATCTCTCCAAACTCACATTGGTTTCTCAAACAGCATCTCTCCAAACTCACATTGGTTTCTCATACAGCATCTCTCCAAACTCACATTTGTTTCTCATACAGCATCTCTCCAAACTCACATTGGTTTCTCAAACAGCATCTCTCCAAACTCACATTGGTTTCTCATACAGCATCTCTCCAAACTCACATTGGTTTCTCATACAGCATCTCTCCAAACTCACATTGGTTTCTCATACAGCATCTCTCCAAACTCACATTGGTTTCTCATACAGCATCTCTCCAAACTCACATTGGTTTCTCATACAGCATCTCTCCAAACTCACATTGGTTTCTCAAACAGCATCTCTGTAAACTACGTGTATTCACTGAATTTCACTCTCTGCCTTTAACGGCTCGTTGTAGCTCCAATAGCTCCAGCCCCCACCCTCCCTGTGAGCACAGTGTGCTCTGATTGGTCGGGACGTTGTGAATCGCACTGAGCTCCGTGGAGGTGTTGTTTCCTTGTTTAGCATACATAGCGAAACACAGCCAAACTCATCCTGAGCACACACAAAGTCACAGCCGGAGTAAAAACAATAAGTGTGGCTTGATATTGAGTAAGAAAAAGGTTGATAAACGCTGTGAGAATGGGTCTGTGGAGAGAATGGGTCTGCGGAGAGAATGGGTCTGCAGAGAGAATGGGTCTGCAGTGAGAATGGGTCTGCAGAGAGAATGGGTCTGCAGAGAGAATGGGTCTGCAGAGAGAATGGGTCTGTAGAGAGAATGGGTCTGCAGAGAGAATGGGTCTGCAGAGAGGATGGGTCTGCAGAGAGGATGGGTCTGCAGAGAGAATGGGCCCGCAGAGAGAATGGGTCTGCAGAGAGAATGGTTCTGCAGAGAGAATGGGTCTGTAGAGAGAATGGGTCTGCGGAGAGAATGGGTCTGCAGAGAGAATGGGTCTGCAGAGAGAATGGGTCTGCAGAGAGAATGGGTCTGCAGAGAGAATGGGTCTGCAGAGAGAATGGGTCTGCAGAGAGAATCCCAACTGTCTGTTATCAGCCTGCAGCCAGGGAGGAGAAATCAGCAGAGCTGCCTGCACATAGAGTGTGTGTGTGTGTGTGAGGAAGTCCGTGGATTGGTCAATTTGGACCAATCAGCGGGGGCTTAACATAACGGCTCCGCGGACGTAACGTAACGGCTCCACGGATTGGTCCATTTCGTTCCGGGTACGGCATGACATCATGATGTACCCGGAACGAAATGGAAGAATCAAATGGGCAGTGACGTATCTCCAACGAGGCGTTTTGGGGAGGTATTTTCTGTGTTAGAGTTTTACTCGCTACAGCGTGTACTTTGAGGGTTTTGACTCTGCACACCGTTTACATGCATAAAAACCTTCATAACACAAGGGGACGGGTGATAACCGGAAAAGCATGACAGGGGCCCTTTAAGCCCTTCAGTGTCTTATCTAAATGCAGTATATTTAGAGATGCAGACATTTATACCTTTTATTTCACTATATATATATATATATATATATATATATATATATATATATACTTCATGTCTGATTTGACATACACTTGCTTAGTTTCTCCCAATAAATCTTGGTATAAAGCCTATCTTTAAATACACCCTTATTATAGTACTCTTAATGAAAATGTGAGAATATAATCATAATAAAAGTATTTGTCAGAAACCAGCCGATTAAATAATCTCTTTTCCTGTCTACCGGCTAGCATTTTGACTTTATTATATATCTGCTAACTGTCAGATTTTACATAGAAATACTTCGTTTCTCCCAATAAATAATGATATTTATATATACCCTATCTTGGCATGGATATCAGCTTATAAACACGGCGGATCAATTCATTGAAAAAGCAGGAAACACTATATGTGTTTAGTCAAAAGTTTATTCTACAGACCTGGTACAGATCCTCTTTCATATGACACGGTCATTTCAATATGTCTTTCATTCATTATAATCATACAATGATTCATCGCTCTTATATCCTAATTGCAATATCAGTAATAAGTCAGGTAATAAGCCAGGTAATAAATCAGGGGTAATAAGTCGGGTAATAAATCAGGTAATAAGTCGGGTAATAAGGTAATAAACCAGGTAATAAGTCGGGTAATAAATCAGGGGTAATAAATCGGGTAATAATCCGGGTAATAAATCGGGTAATAATCCGGGTAATAAATCGGGTAATAATCCGGGTAATAATCAGGTAATAAATCAGGTAATAAGTCAGGGGTAATAAGTCGGGTAATAAATCGGGTAATAAGTCAGGTAATAATCCGGGTAATAAATCGGGTAATAATCCGGGTAATAATCCGGGTAATAATCCGGGTAATAAATCGGGTAATAATCAGGTAATAAGTCAGGTAATAAGTCAGGGGTAATAAGTCGGGTAATAAGTCGGGTAATAAATCGGGTAATAAGGTAATAAACCGGGTAATAAACCGGGTAATAAGTCGGGTAATAATCCGGGTAATAAATCGGGTAATAATCTGGGTAATAAATCGGGTAATAAATCGGGTAATAAATCGGGTAATAATCAGGTAATAAGTCGGGTAATAAGTCGGGTAATAAGTCGGGTAATAAGTCGGGTAATAAGGTAATAAACCGGGTAATAAACCGGGTAATAAACCGGGTAATAAACCGGGTAATAAATCGGGTAATAATCTGGGTAATAAATCGGGTAATAAATCGGGTAATAAATCGGGTAATAATCAGGTAATAATCAGGTAATAAGTCAGGTAATAAGTCAGGGGTAATAAATCGGGTAATAAGTCAGGTAATAATCCGGGTAATAAATCGGGTAATAATCCGGGTAATAATCCGGGTAATAAATCGGGTAATAATCAGGTAATAAGTCAGGTAATAAGTCAGGGGTAATAAGTCGGGTAATAAATCGGGTAATAAATCGGGTAATAAGGTAATAAACCGGGTAATAAACCGGGTAATAAGTCGGGTAATAATCCGGGTAATAAATCGGGTAATAATCTGGGTAATAAGTCGGGTAATAAATCGGGTAATAAATCGGGTAATAATCAGGTAATAAGTCAGGTAATAAGTCGGGTAATAAGTCGTAAGTAATAAGAAATTTGGGATGTGAGACTTTGAGGCCTTGAAGCTCCTCAGGAGGTGTTGGTGATGGGTTTGTCAGGGGTAATAAGTCGGGTAATAAGTCCTTAGTCTGGTGCTTTACTCATGAAATACTGAATAGAGACCCTGCAGCTTCAGATCGTAGAGAACTCTTTGAATAGTTAGATAAAAACGCAGCTGAAATCTATCTCAATCACCTGTCAATCAATCTCTCACCGGTTGCTCTGTTTCCTCAGGTATGGCTGGGACTGTGTACTTCCTGTCGGAGCTGGAGAACCCCGAGGCCTCCTGCTTCCCTGCCTTTGAACTCTGACCTGCTGAGAAAGAGGAGGAGGAAGAATAGAAGTCTGGACACGTAAAGGACGTTTTTGTGATGCAGATTTCGTGCTGAGTGAGGAGTGACTGAGTGACACGTTTACAAGGAGGGGGAAGAGGATTAATGTCGCACTGAATAAAGACCCTGCTGGACTGATGAAGACGAGGATGAAGACGATGATGAAGACGGACTCTGATCACAGACATTTGGAGAAAAGACTTTCAATCTGATCCAGCTGGAAGAAGTGTGTGTGTGTGTGTGTGTGTGTGTGTGTGTGTGTGTGTGTGTGTGTGTGTGTGTGTGTGTGTGTGTGTGTGTGTGTGTGTGTGTGTGTGTGTGTGTGTGTGTGTGTGTGTGTGTGTGTGTGTGTGTGTGTGTGTGTGTGTGTGTGTGTGTGTGTGTGTGTGTGTGTGTGTGTGTGTGTGTGTGTGTGTGTGTGTGTGTGTGTGTGTGCGCACGCGCACGCGCAGAGGCGTTATCAATAGATACATGTGATGAAAGATGTAATGTTTAATGTGCGTTAAGGAGTCAGTCGTCGTCGTGGCGATGGAGATGTTTCCGTGTGTTCAGTGAAAATAAATGGTCCTGAAATGTTTCAAAGAAATGGGTTTGTATTTTTATGTCTCCTTCTGTTCAGGATCGCTTGAACTGCAGTGAATTGATTAGTCATTGATTAGTCTAAGCAGTGAATTGATTAGTCTTAGCAGTGAATTGATTAGTCTAAGCAGTGAATTGATTAGTCTGAGCAGTGAATTGATTAGCAGTGAATTGATTAGTCTAAGCAGTGAATTGATTAGTCTGAGCAGTGAATAGCAGTGAATTGATTAGCACTGAATTGATTAATCTAAGCAGTGAATTGATTAGTCTAAGCAGTGAATTGATTAGCAGTGAATTGATTAGTCTGAGCAGTGAATTGATTAGCAGTGAATTGATTAATCTAAGCAGTGAATTGATTAGTCTAAGCAGTGAATTGATTAGTCTAAGCAGTGCATTGATTAGTCTAAGCAGTGCATTGATTAGTCTCCAGTGAATGGATTAGTCTAAGCAGTGAATTGATTAGTCTGCAGTGAATGGATTAATCTAAGCAGTGAATTGATTAATCTAAGCAGTGAATTGATTAGTCTAAGCAGTGAGTTGATTAGTCTGCAGTGAATTGATTAATCTAAGCAGTGAATTGATTAGTCTGCAGTGAATTGATTAGTCTGAGCAGTGAATTGATTAGTCTAAGCAGTGAATTGATTAGTCTAACCGGTGAATTGATTAGCAGTGAATTGATTAGTCTAAGCAGTGAATTGATTAGTCTAAGCAGTGCATTGATTAATCTAAGCAGTGAATTGATTAGTCTAACCGGTGAATTGATTAGCAGGGAATTGATTAGTCTAAGCAGTGCATTGATTAGTCTAAGCAGTGCATTGATTAATCTAAGCAGTGAATTGATTAATCTAAGCAGTGAATTGATTAGCAGTGAATTGATTAGTCTAAGCAGTGAATTGATTAGCAGTGAATTGATTAGTCTAAGCAGTGCATTGATTAGTCTGCAGTGAATTGATTAGTCTAAGCAGTGAATTGATTAGTCTGCAGTGAATTGATTAGTCTGCAGTGAATTGATTCGTCTAAGCAGTGAATTGATTAGTCTGAGCAGTGAATTGATTAGTCTGCAGTGAATTGATTAGTCTGAGCAGTGAATTGATTAGTCTGAGCAGTGAATTGATTAGTCTAAGCAGTTCATTGATTAGTCTAAGCAGTGAATTGATTAGCAGTGAATTGATTAGTCTAAGCAGTGAATTGATTAGTCTGAGCAGTGAATTGCAGTGAATTGATTAGTCTAAGCAGTGAATTGATTAATCTAAGCAGTGAATTGATTAGTCTGAGCAGTGAATTGCAGTGAATTGATTAGTCTAAGCAGTGAATTGATTAGTCTAAGCAGTGAATTGATTAGTCTAAGCAGTGAATTGATTAGTCTGAGCAGTGAATTGCAGTGAATTGATTAGTCTAAGCAGTGAATTGATTAGTCTGCAGTGAATTGATTAATCTAAGCAGTGAATTGATTAATCTAAGCAGTGAATTGATTAGTCTAAGCAGTGAATTGATTTGTCTAAGAAGTGAATTGATTAGTCTGCAGTGAATTTATTAATCTAAGCAGTGAATTGATTAGTCTAAGCAGTGAATTGATTAATCTAAGAAGTGAATTGATTAGTCTAAGCAGTGAATTGATTAGTCTGCAGTGAATTGATTAATCTAAGCAGTGAATTGATTAGTCTAAGCAGTGAATTGATTAATCTAAGCAGTGAATTGATTAGTCTAAGCAGTGAATTGATTAGTCAAAGCAGTGAGTTGATTAGTCTGCAGTGAATTGATTAATCTAAGCAGTGAGTTGATTAGTCTGCAGTGAATTGATTAGACTAAGCAGTGAATTGATTAGTCTAAGCAGTGAATTGATTAGTCTAAGCAGTGAATTTAGTCTAAGCAGTGAATTGATTAGTCTAAGCAGTGAATTGATTAATCTGCAGTGAATTGATTAGTCTGAGCAGTGAATTGATTAGTCTGCAGTGAATTGATTAGTCTAAGCAGTGAATTGATTAGTCTGCAGTGAATTGATTAGTCTAAGCAGTGAATTGATTAGTCTGAGCAGTGAATTGATTAATCTGCAGTGAATTGATTAGTCTGAGCAGTGAATTGATTAGTCTGCAGTGAATTGATTAGTCTGAGCAGTGAATTGATTAGTCTAAGCAGTGAATTGATTAGTCTAAGCAGTGAATTGATTAGTCTGCAGTGAATTGATTAGTCTAAGCAGTGAATTGATTAATCTAAGCAGTGAATTGATTAGTCTAACCGGTGAATTGATTAGCAGTGAATTGATTAGTCTAAGCAGTGAATTGATTAGTCTAAGCAGTGCATTGATTAATCTAAGCAGTGAATTGATTAGTCTAAGCAGTGAATTGATTAATCTAAGCAGTGAATTGATTAGTCTAAGTAGTGAATTGATTAATCTAAGCAGTGAATTGATTAGCAGTGAATTGATTAGTCTAAGCAGTGAATTGATTAGTCTAAGCAGTGAATTGATTAGCAGTGAATTGATTAGTCTAAGCAGTGAATTGATTAGTCTAAGCAGTGAATTGATTAGCAGTGAATTGATTAGTCTAAGCAGTGAATTGATTAATCTAAGCAGTGAATTGATTAGCAGTGAATTGATTAGTCTAAGCAGTGAATTGATATTAAATGTTGAGTAAAATGGAAGAAATGAATGTAAATCCTTTATTGTTGTTACTCTAATATATGAATATGATCTGTTCGATGCATAAGGAGATTTCTCACATTCCTCCTGTTCATTATAATTAACTCATGCAACTCATGCAGAATATTGATCTAATAATACAGTGTGATATAAAGTAAATCCAGGAGTCAGAGGTTATCAGAAGTGAACTTTATTTACATATTTCACAATGAATGACGGTGTTTGTGTTGAAAGAGCAGAAGAAGAGATGGTTCCTGTTGCAAAGACACACAAAAGAACTTCTCTAATATTGTGCTGTGCATTTAAAACATCCCATAATTCACCTTTGGGTTTGCAGTGAAGAACTGGGCTTCATTCATGGTTTCAGACCTTTATCCATGCAAACCCCAAAGTCAAGTGCAAACCCCAAAGTCAAGTGCAAACCCCAAAGTCAAGTGCAAACCCCAAAGTCAAGTGCAAACCCCAAAGTCAAGTACAAACCCCAAAGTCAAGTGCAAACCCCAAAGTCAAGTGCAAACCCCTTTCCAATTCAGAGCTCATTTCTGTATTTCTGTCATTAGTTTGAAATGTTGAAATATGAGGCGCGATGTGAAGCTCACTGACGGGGAATCAGGAGAACTCTGCAGTGGGTTTGAGGTTTTTCCTGAATGAAATGTGCTTTGACTTTATGTGAATGGATTTAGAGTTTAATGGTTACAGAAATCATCATGAATGTGAGAGTGTGTGTGCTGTGTGTGTGTGTGTGTGTGTCTGTGTGTGTGTGTGTCTGTGTGTATGTGTGTCTGTGTGATGTGTGTGTCTGTGTGATGTGTGTGTCTGTGTGTGTGTGTCTGTGTGATGTGTGTGTGATGTGTGATGTGTGTGTCTGTGCTGTGTGTGTGTCTGTGTGATGTGTGTGTCTGTGTGTGTGTGTCTGTGTGATGTGTGTGTGATGTGTGTGTCTTGTGTGCTGTATATCTGTTCGATCTATGTGCTGTGTGTGTGTCTGTGTGATGTGTGTGTGTCTGTGTGATGTGTGTGTCTGTGTGTGTCTGTGTGTGCTGTGTGATATGTGTGTGTGTGTGTGTATGTCTGTGTGTGCTGTATATCTGTGTGTGTGTGTGTGTGTGCTGTGTGTGTGTGTATATCTGTGTGTGTGTGTGTGTGTGTGTGTGTGCTGTGTGATCTGTGTGTGTGTGTGTATATCTGTGTGTGTGTGTGCTGTGTGATATGTGTGTGTGTGTATGTCTGTGTGTGCTGTATATCTGTGTGTGTGTGTGTGTGTGCTGTGTGTGTGTGTGTGTGCTGTGTGATCTGTGTGTGTGTGTGTATATCTGTGTGTGTGTGTGTGTGTGTGTGTGTGTGTCTGTGTGTGCTGTATATCTGTGTGTGTGTGTTTGCAGAGTTGATTGTGCTCGTTAATGCATCAATGGGACAAAACTACGCAACAGAAAGAGCTCGACTACTTCCTGAAACTTCATCATCATCTTCATCATCAGGTATTCACTGCAGCACTTAAAGAACCAAAAGCACTTTGCAGACACTGAACGTCACCTTTTTACAAACCATGACTCAGCTCAGGTGGGTTCACGAGAGATTCACGTGCTCTCTCAGTTTGTTGAGTTTTAATCTGAGTTTCATTGAGATCTCATTCCTCACGAGTCATGCTTCACCTCGTTACGTCCACTGATGAGACCAGAGGTTAGAAATGAAGCCTGATGATTCCTGCACTTTGTGTAGCCTTCATGAAATAAAGAATGTGTTACAGGATGCCTTTTAAAAGCATATTTGATTCACACCAAGTCCTCTAACTGTAACTCAGTGCTGCCATTACTGTTCTTTATGTTTATGCAGAAATGGTCTTGATTTGGGGAAATGTGCATAAATAACAGATAAAGTGTGCTTTTAATCTCTAAACACATCTGCAGCTAAACTGCACAATCCCTTTCTCCCTGCAGCTCATTATACACTCTCTCATCTTCTAGAAAAGGCTCTGAGAAACTCTCAGCGTCACTGCAGAGTGAGAAACTCTCAGCGTCACTGCAGAGTGAGAAACTCTCAGCGTCACTGCAGAGTGAGAAATGATGTCAGGTGTTTGATGTTTGATGTTCCTCCAGCAGAGATCAATCAGCTGTTTGAGGATTTACTCTCAAGCATCTAATTATTCAATTAGGACCAAACTGATGACTTAAATATTCAACCAATCAACTCCTGGCATGTCCCATTCATTAAGTCCAGCACATGCAAACAGCCTGATTGTCAGTGTTTGAATGATCTAATAATTAACCTTTTTATTTGTGTGGTTTGACGACATTTAATATAATAATGTGTTTGTGGAACAATGTGCCCTAAATGTCTATTTCTTCCGTCTCATCCGCAGCTTTAGTGAAAAGAAGATTCCTTCAGTTTCATATCTTTGTATTTTCTGGGTGCAGTTTTCCTTTAAGGGTTAGACTTGATCCAACGCCTCGCTATGCAACCTGTGCAACCTGTGCAGCCTGTGCAGCCTGTGCAACCTGTGCAACCTGTGCAACCTGTGCAGCCTGTGCAACCTGTGCAACCTGTGCAGCCTGTGCAACCTGTGCAACCTGTGCAGCCTGTGCAACCTGTGCAACCTGTGCAACCTGTGCAGCCTGTGCAACCTGTGCAACCTGTGCAACCTGTGCAACCTGTGCAACCTGTGCAGCCTGTGCAACCTGTGCAACCTGTGCAACCTGTGCAACCCTTCACTGGACTAGCTGCAGGGAAAGCAATGCAGACATCCCCTCTCAAGATCTTTCTCTGCTCTGCTTTCATTGTGTTTCTTTACTAATGATATGAACACAACGCCCTGAGGGAAACGCGCTTCTCCAGAGGCGTTCATGAACACGCTCCATGCTAGAACATCTGACAAAGAAACTAAACAGAAAGCACTAGAGCGTACTTCATCATTTCCCATCTCATGTTGAACTGGAGCTCTTTAGGAAAAGACAGCTCATCACTTAGTGGAGAGAGGATATGTGTTCAATACGCTTTCAACAACAGTGTGTGTGTGTGTGTGTGTGTGTGTGTGTGTGTTTCTTCATTACAGGAAGTGTGTGTTTTTAAAAGTCTTACATCCACAAAACCCTCTGATCATTTCCTTTCTCACAGTTCATCTCTCTTTTCTCTGCAGACGTCACTTCTTGTCGGCGTTGTTAAATATCTGTTCATATGAGGGAGGGGGGTGGTTGCAGTATGACGGAGGGGGGGGGGTAGGCGCTCATCATCATGTGGGCGGAGCCAGGCTGAGCTGGGAACATGTGGGCGGAGCCAGAGGGACCCCCTGCTGGGTCAGAGGTCATCCCGTTCACCCCGAAGCCCTGCATGGCCCCCGGCTGCTGGGAGACTGGAGGGAGACAGGAGACAGATTTACTTTGAGAGACACACACACACACACACACACACACACACACACACACACACACACACACACACACACACACACACACACACACACACACACACACACACACACACACACACACACACACACACACACACACACACACACACACACACACACACACACACACACACACACACACACACACACACACACACACACACACACACACACACACACACACGAATGATGTGAAATCTAACCAAGTGTTAAATCAGACTTTAGTTCCACCTGGAGTAAATCCACAAGCTACCCTGCAGTATACAAAGTCATTCAAACTAGCTGCACCTTTACCAGCTTTGAGAACACTTTCATGATCAATCATTATAAAACATATCATATATATTATTCTGAAATGGATCAATCTGCCCTGCAGTATCAGGTAGATGCTGCCTTCAGGGACCAACACAGAAACACCACATCCTGCAGCACTAATAGCTTGTGGTGTGTGTGTGTGTGTGTGTGTGTGTGTGTGTGTGTGTGTGTGTGTGTGTGTGTGTGTGTGTGTACCAGGAGAGTTGGCAGGGTGTCTGGTGAAGGACACGTTGAAGTCGTCTCTCAGAGGTGAAGGGTACATCCTCCTGCGCACGATGAACCCTGCGCCGCAGCAGAACAACACGCCCATCATCAGGAGCACCCTGAGGACACAGATACACAACGTACTGTAACACACATACACAACGTACTGTAACACACATACACAACGTACTGTAACACACATACACAATGTACTGTAACACACATACACAACGTACTGTAACACACATACACAACGTACTGTAACACACATACACAACGTACTGTAACACACATACACAATGTACTGTAACACACATACACAACGTACTGTAACACACATACACAACGTACTGTAACACACATACACACAGATACACAACGTACTGTAACACACATACACACAGATACACAACGTACTGTAACACACATACACACAGATACACAACGTACTGTAACACACATACACAACGTACTGTAACACACATACACAACGTACTGTAACACACATACACACAGATACACAACGTACTGTAACACACATACACACAGATACACAACGTACTGTAACACACATACACAACGTACTGTAACACACATACACACAGATACACAACGTACTGTAACACACATACACACAGATACACAACGTACTGTAACACACATACACAATGTACTGTAACACACATACACACAGATACACAACGTACTGTAACACACATACACACAGATACACAACATACTGTAACACACATACACAACGTACTGTAACACACATACACAACGTACTGTAACACACATACACACAGATACACAACGTACTGTAACACACATACACACAGATACACAACGTACTGTAACACACATACACAACATACTGTAACACACATACACAACGTACTGTAACACACATACACAACGTACTGTAACACACATACACAACGTACTGTAACACACATACACAACGTACTGTAACACACATACAAACAGATACACAACGTACTGTAACACACATACACACAGATACACAACGTACTGTAACACAGATACATCACACTGAGACTTAGACATACTTATATATCATATTTTAGATATTTCTTTAGATATTTTATGTTCCCAGAATACTTTATGTCTTTCTTCAACAGAATATACTTTGTACTATATATTACCTGTGTTTTTTCAACATACTATAGATATGTATATACATATATATATATATATATATATATATATATATATATATATATATATATATATATATGTATATACATATATATACATACATTCAAGGACTGTCTATATATATGCTATATAATAATAAGGCATAGTATACTTTGTCATTTTTATGCATATTTCCGACATACTCTATGACTCTACTATATTCTCAGTTTCGATGTCATTATTTCTCTTATCAAAGCGCTGCCTCTCAGGAAGGACTTTTCGTCCCAAGACAGACAGTGTCCTCGTAAACACAGTGTCCTCGTAAACACAGTGTCCTCGTAAACACAGTGTCCTCGTAAACACAAAGTCCTCGTAAACACAGTGTCCTCGTAAACACAAAGTCCTCTCTTCACAAACTCTCTCTCATGATGAGCTCACCAGAAGTACCATAGTCTCTGGATGGAGAGAGCTCTCACACAGCAGCGAGTCCCACAGCAGTCCTCATACGAGCGACATCTGCAGTGACATTAACACATTAACACATTAACACATTAACACATTAGCACAGTTAGCACTTAGCTCAACACACACAGGACACTTATCAGGGTTTCACTTCTAGGGGGCATCTAGGGTGCATCTAGGGTGCATCTAGAGTGCATCTAGGGTGCATCTAGGGTGCATCTAGAGTGCATCTAGGGTGCATCTAGGGTGCATCTAGAGTGCATCTAGAGTGCATCTAGGGAGCATCTAGAGTGCATCTAGGGAGCATCTAGGGTGCATCTAGGGAGCATCTAGAGTGCATCTAGGGTGCATCTAGGGAGCATCTAGGGTGCATCTAGGGAGCATCTAGAGTGCATCTAGGGTGCATCTAGGGAGCATCTCGAGTGCATCTAGGGAGCATCTAGAGTGCATCTAGGGTGCATCTAGAGTGCATCTAGGGAGCATCTAGAGTGCATCTAGGGTGCACCTAGGGAGCATCTAGGGTGCACCTAGAGAGCATCTAGGGTGCATCTAGAGTGCATCTAGGGTGCATCTAGAGTGCATCTAGGGAGCATCTAGGGTGCATCTAGGGTGCACCTAGGGAGCATCTAGGCAGCATCTAGAGTGCATCTAGGGTGCATCTAGGGTGCATCTAGAGTGCATCTAGGGTGCATCTAGAGAGCATCTAGAGTGCATCTAGAGAGCATCTAGGGAGCATCTAGGGTGCATCTAGAGTGCATCTAGGGAGCATCTAGAGTGCATCTAGGGTGCACCTAGGGAGCATCTAGAGTGCATCTAGGGTGCATCTAGGGAGCATCTAGAGTGCATCTAGAGTGCATCTAGGGTGCATCTAGAGTGCATCTAGGGTGCATCTAGGGAGCATCTAGAGTGCATCTAGGGAGCATCTAGGGTACATCTAGAGTGCATCTAGGGAGCATCTAGGGGGCATCTAGGGTACATCTAGAGTGCATCTAGAGAGCATCTAGGGTGCATCTAGGGAGCATCTAGAGTGCATCTAGGGAGCATCTAGGGGGCATCTAGATTATTTTATAACTAGATTCAGATTGTTTTTCTCAAACTCATCATAAGACCGTTTCAGAAATGTTTGTTGTGGTTTTTTAAACATTGTGTGGATAACAGTTATTGTTCTATAAAGCTCCAAAAGGGACTAAAAAGAGCGTCACTGTTCAGTCAGAGAGCGCTCTGCAGATCAGAGGGTCAGAGGGTCAGAGGATCAGAGGGTCAGAGGGTCAGAGGATCAGAGGGTCAGAGGATCAGAGGATCAGAGGGTCAGAGGGTCAGAGGATCAGAGGGTCAGAGGATCAGAGGGTCAGAGGGTCAGAGGGTCAGAGGATCAGAGGGTCAGAGGGTCAGAGGGTCAGAGGATCAGAGGGTCAGAGGATCAGAGGGTCAGAGGGTCAGAGGGTCAGAGGGTCAGAGGGTCAGAGGGTGCATTCTGGTTCAGTTTGTCACACATTCACATCTCTGTGCCGGCTCCACATCGATGCACATTCAAAAGATGGAAGGTGTGCTACTTGCATGAAGGAGATCGGGTATCCGCCTTCAAAATACCAGCAGTACTTCTTGGCCTCGACACACTGTGAATAAAAGAGAAGCAGATTCAAAACATGTCTTTGTGTTTCTCTGCACTCATCCCCCAGAATGCATTGTGTCGAAGCCGCTTTTATTCCCAGTACTGCTTCACAGTGTTTCAGTAACTCTGAAATGCATCTCTGCAGCAGAGGAGACACAGAGGAGACACAGAGGAGACACAGAGGAGACACAGAGGAGACACAAAGGAGACACAGAGGAGACACAGAGGAGACACAAAGGAGACACAGAGGAGACACAGAGGAGACACAGAGGAGACACAAAGGAGACACAGAGGAGACACAGAGGAGACACAGAGGAGACACAGAGGAGACACAGAGGAGACACAGAGGAGACACAGAGGAGACACAGAGGAGACACAGAGGAGACACAAAGGAGACACAGAGGAGACACAGAGGAGACACAGAGGAGACACAGAGGAGACACAGAGGAGACACAAAGGATAAGAGAGAAATTGCAGAAATATGATGAGATTTTTAAACAATTCTCTTCTAAAGAAAGTCGTGCATTTACTGGAAAACCTGTTGGCTTTCTCTGAGAGGGAAGAGGGAAGAGGGAAGAGGGAAGAGGGAAGAGGGAAGAGGTAAGAGGGAAGAGGTAAATGCACGAGAGAAAAACAACTACATCCACGAAGAAGGAGAGATTCTCAATGGATGATATTTTGCAAAAGAAAATCTGAAACGATCTGAAATTAAAGTCTGAAATCTTCTTTTGAGGAAGAACCACAAGGTCAGAGGTCAGGGTTTCTGAAGTACAATCAAACCATGGATGTTCTGGACTCTGTTTCCATCTTAGGGTCTGCTTTCATTCAGTTTGAAAGGTTTACAGAGGAAGTGCTGACTGCGGAGGACACAAATCAGCGTGACACAACCAGAGAAAGGTTCCTACTTTAAAGGAAGCTTAGACGTGTGTGTGTGTGTGTGCGTGCGTGCGTGCGTGCGTGCGTGCGTGCGTGCGTGCGTGCGTGCGTGCGTGCGTGCGTGCGTGCGTGCGTGCGTGCGTGCGTGCGTGCGTGCGTGCGTGCGTGCGTGCGTGCGTGCGTGCGTGCGTGCATCCAGGGTGAGTCCGATGCAGAATAACCCAGAAGGCTCTCTGACTGAAGTGTGTCGTCCTCTGCTCTGGTTTGAGTTCGCTAACTGAAGATGAGAGCTAGAGAGAATACAGAGATCGTTACGCTTCAGATTCTAATCATAGCAACGAGCCTGGAAATGTGTTATTATGAGAGCACACAGACATCCTGCTGCTGCAACAAACAAACAAACAACAACAACAACAAACTGCCTCCATGTTTATAGGAAGCAAAACACGTACTACAACCAAATCAGAGCTATCACGAGGAGGCATGGAACATCTATCTTACTCTAAAGTCAAGACGTCATCTCGTATCGGACTGACGCTGTAAAACTCTTCTGATCCACTACCTAGAAACGAAGCAAGCCCCAAACTACTCAAAGCCTGTTTTTAGCCGAACTGGCTGCAGGAAAAGCATTTGTGCTGCTGATCCAGAGTCAGTGGGCGAGAGAAATGCATTTGTGCTGCTGATCCAGAGTCAGTGGGCGAGAGAAAAGCATTTCCAATCACCAGGAGTTCAAAACGTTTCATCTCAATCAGATCCCATCAGATTTAGAAATCCCATTCTTTGTGATCCAGGATCAGAAAAGTCGGACAGATGTTGTCTCAGTAGTTCAAAGCAGTTCAGGATCCCCCTGATCCAGATCCAGACTTTCAAGATGACTAGATCCTGAATATCAGTGCTTTAATCCGACCGATCTCCCTCTAGTGGACATGAGAGATACTACAGGGAAGACAAGAGACCACATTGCAGACACATCTAGTTCTCTTGAAAGGTGACGACAGATGGACGTTTTTTTTGTTGAAGATATTTTTTCTTTAATCTAAATTACATTTGTGATTGACAATCTTTGTTGTGATACTTTTATGAGCATAAACATTTATGTCATCAACATTTGAAAACAAAATAGACCACAAACGTGAGCAAAAATGAAAAATCAAATGTATTTCCCATGAAGGCTAAACATGGTGTATTATTTCAGTTAACAAACTTTGCCATCTTATTTATATTGAAACATATTTTTAAATAAATTGTACAGCACATTTTGCTCTGGTAATCCACTGGAGACCCACCCCTCTGGTGGGATCAGGGTAATCCACTGGAGACCCACCCCTCTGGTGAGATCAGGGTAATCCACTGGAGACCCACCCCTCTGGTGAGATCAGGGTAATCCGCTGGAGACCCACCCCTCTGGTGGGATCAGGATAATCAAACTGATCCCAATCCTGTTGTCGGGTTGAACTACCCCATTTGAAGACTTGATCCAGATTAAAGCTTGGATTGGATTTCCTGATCTGATCGATATCAAAGTGATCCTGATCCTGTTGTTTGGTTTTGAACTACCCAAATCCAAATCTGATCCGATCAGAAAGGGATTACAAGCTTTGACCTGCCGGGCTCTGGAGGTCAGAGATCAGGCGGATGGAAGCAGGAAGAAACACAAACACTTTATCCACGCCGTGCACAGATGATATTAAAACACATATTGTGCAAACATAACGGCGTTGATAAGTGGTCAAACAATGCATGTTTATCCATATCCATATCCATATCCACGCAGCACCGACTGGAGATTACAGAGATTTATTCAGACTAACTTTAACCTGCAGATGATCGAGGAAAACAAACTATAAGACACTACAAAGAAAACGTGGCATGCAACAAACACACACACACACACACACACACACACACACACACACACACACACACACACACACACACACACACACACACACACACACACACACACCACACACACACACACACACACACACACACACACACACACACACACACACACACACACACACACACACACACACACACACACACCTTTAACTCCCATATGATGAGGATTAAGGGAAACCGAAATCAAAACGACGCCTCAGTAAATGTAAAGTCATCGGGGTCTTCTCTCTTCGGGGTCTTCTCTCTTCGAGGTCTCCTCTCTTCGAGGTCTCCTCTCTTCAGGACCCTCTGACCCCTCAGTGTCCCTGAAGGACCCTCTGACCCCCCGTGATGTTCACCTCTCTCATTTAGAGACACCAAAGTGTGTGTAGAGAAGAGAGACACGCTTCATGCAGACATACTTTTATTTTGATATCCCATTAAATCATTTCCTGCAAAACCGAGAGATAAAATGGTTTTATAATATTTCTGTTGCGTGTGTATATAAATATAACTGACTGTTGTAAATATCATATAGTCTCATATGAGTAGGAATAATGAACTAAATGAGGGTTCAATCACCTGCCTTTTGTACACTTAATCTGTAGGAACAAAATAATCAGCAATAATTCTGATAATCAATTAATCAGTAAAGTAATCTCCTCAAAAATACTGTTTTTTTTTACTGGAGATTTGCTGCTTTATTTATTATTATATCAAAAGTGCATGGTGACCTAAAGAGATTGTTGTATTGTGGTCTGTCAAATCAATATATCATACAATAATACACTTGTAATGTGCAGTCCTTATTCCTTAACAGAAGCTAATGAGAAATGAATGAGAATGTGATATTAGGGTTTAACATTGGGTTAAGTCTCCTGCAGCCATTTGTCATTTCACAGAAACATCTTTAAATGCTGCCTCCAGACACTTCAATCTTGATATGTGTTGCTTTTCTCAATTTATATCATAATTAAAGTGAATATTTTATAGTTTTGGACTGACAGAAAGACATTAAAGACACAACTTTGGACTGAAAACTGCAATTATTCAATATTTTCTGTCATTTTTATCAAGCAAAACATGAATGCATTATGAGAACAGATGCTAGATGCTGCACTACTGTACACCTGTGTGTGTGTGTGTGTGTGTGTGTGTGTGTGTGTGTGTGTGTGTGTGTGTGTGTGTGTGTGTGTGTGTGTGTGTGTGTCCTACAGGCCCAGTGGTTAAAGGACAAAGGATGACAGCATCACAGGTAGCCTAGTTCCCACAGAGCATCACACAACACAATTAAATGTTGAGTTATTGTCAAAAAATGAAAAGGTCTTCCAGAATAAACACCTTAATTTATATTTAAATGTCCTTTAGCCTACATGCCAATCCAGAAGGTGGTGCTATAAATATTAAAGTTAAGATTTTATTGATATTTAGAGTATTTCGGGGGGTTATTTATAAGCCGAATTAACCACACAATGCCATTTATTTAATATAAATATAGATTACTCCTGTATGTTGTGTGTATTTCTGGAATTAGAGGATTAAAGATGTAATTATGTGATGTTTGAATGGGGTTTGGTGGAGAGCGCTGTGACAACAATAGCATCAGACTAGCTTGTTATTGTGTCTGCATTGAACACACACACATTAGGTTCTCTCACACACACACACACTTGTCATATATCTAATTATAGCATGATGATATTTATAATTATGTTGCTCTTACCTCCAGAAGGATCCAGAGAGAGAGCACCGCCCCGGGCAGAGGGTTCCTCATTTCTCCGCTGAAGGAGGGAGAATCTGGGGGAGAAAAGGCCGAGGAGGAGACGCTCCGCTCGGATCAAAAGGACCGGGCCATGCCGCTGCAGACACCCGGAGATCAGCTCCTCTGGCCGGGGAACACAGCTGCGGAGAGCCGGGGAGAAAACACGGTCCTCAGACAGATTAATGCATGCTGGGAAACTGCCTGATGAGGGATCAAACCACGCCCCTTTACAGCACGGACACACACACACACACACACACACACACACACACACACACACACACACACACACACACACACACACACACACACACACAGAGAGAGAGACACACACACACACACACACACACACACACACACACACACACACACACACACACACACACACACACACACACACACACACAGGTATATATTTAGTTATAATAATGAGGAAGTTGCAAGACACATACATAAGCTATCCTTAGACTAATATATCAGCCGTAACTATTATTACGACCACCATTATTATTTGTATCATAGTATTATCATGTTTCCCTCAGTTCATAGCTTATTACAGGGAAGTACATCAAAACAGATTAAAGAGTAGATGCATCACAATAAATGATGAAGGTTAGATTTCACAACAAACCCCATAATTGATCTCGTGCATGACAATTAACAGTGCTAACACGTGCCTGTCGGAGGCGTGTGGCGCAGTGGGTTGTGCGTTGGTGTTCGGATCAGGGGGTCACAGGTTCAAACCCCACTGCAGTCAGCATGTCGTTGTGTCCCTGAGACACTTCACCCCAAAGTGCTCCTGTGGGGATTGCCCACAGTATTGAGTATGTTAGTCGCTTTGGATAAAAGCGTCTAACAAGTAACATGTAATACACACACACACACACACACACACACACACACAGCTCCATTTCCTGCAGCACCCAGGATAAACAAAGCCTGATGTAGTGATGGTTGTATCAGAGGATGTAAACAATACAGTCTCTGATAAGTAATCTAATAAATACTCCTGTTTTCTGTGTCTGTGTGTGTGTGTGTGTGTGTGTGTGTGTGTGTGTGTGTGTGTGTGTGTGTGCGTGTAGCAGCATGATGGATGAAGCTGTCTCTGAACAGGATTTTATCGCCTCAGATTTTTTGGGTTATCTGTCAAAAACCTTCTCATGACTCACATCCTTCAGTCCTGTGCTGCAACGTGAAGGACACAGGGTAAACAACAACAACAAACAATATTGTATGTTAATGACATTGCATCCCCAAATGCCTCTATTATTACAAAACAACTTATATATATTTACTATTTGCTCTGTGTAAGTTTGAGTTGTTGATGCCGTTTATTAGTTGGAATATAAATGTAAATAAACCTTTAAATGACTTTCTTCTTTTCTATGAACTTGTAGTTGCAAATAAAGAATGTCTTTATGGTGTAAATAGTGTAAAAACAGGTGATATTAAAACCATCACACTCTGGTCACTTCCTTCACATGTGCTGTAATATAATGTCGGATGCTGCCCTCTGGCGGTGTCTGCAGGTATTGCAGCTGCTGCACAAACATGTTGACAGCAGAGGAAACAATCTATTATTTATACATTTAAAAACAACAACAACAACAGCATATACACACATGCACACTGTGAAGGGCAAGGACACAAATAACTGAGGTTAATGATGATTATATAGGTAATAAGCGACACATTTAGCAGTATAGAGTAACATTTATGAAACATTGCATTGCATGAAGCCCCGGTGAATGTGAGCGTGGATTACATTCAGAGAAAATCTGTAACTTCCATTTTCCATTTTCCACTAAAAAAGGTTTCAGAGAAAGTTAGTAAACAGGAAATTATTATAGTTTTGTTGATAAAAAAACAACAGTGGTATCAAGTAAACAAACTGATAATTAAAGGGGAACATAGTAATATTAATAAATAAATATTTATCATTTGAAACACTATTTAAAGTATTTGTATGGTAGTTGTTCATGAGGACATCTTGGTCTTGCAACGACAACTTTTTTTTAAATGAGAGAAAAAGGTGAAAAATGACAATTAAATGAATTAAAAAGTGAGATAATCATAAATCACATATGTGTTTCTTTGCAGATTAAGCAAGACCAACATGTACAAATATTAACTTCATTTCATGGTTTTAACACCCATTAAATGTCTGTATTTACTGTGTGTAAAATCACACTGTAGTACCGTTTTCTGACACCAGATGGCGCAGGAGGTTAAATCAGGGACCCTCTCTCTATATAACTCTTTGACATTTGATAGATTCATATTTATATTTAATAAATACAACAGCTCGTATCTTCTGAATCACAGCTCACTAACATACAGAAGTTCATATAGGAGAATAAACTACACAAAGAAATGATAATGAAATGATATGTTGATATTAGACCTGAGTTTGGCTCCCTCTAGTGGCGAGGTTCATGCACCCAGGAGCACACACACACACACACACACACACACACACACACACACACACACACACACACACACACACACACACACACACACACACACACACACACACACACACACACACACACACACACACACACACACACACACACACACAGTAAATCACATTAAAAACATGTTTTTTTAGATTTCCATATCGCTCACACTTTGCTCCCAATCTTTGCAGAAATATGTTTCATAATTGTTTTATTAAGCTTTTATTGCATATTCTTTCTTTGCTGAAAACTATGGAGGACGGAACATGACATAAGTATAAATAAATAAATAAATGTGTAAATAAATGTATGAAGAAATACAGGAATAAATAAATAAATACACAAATAAATAAATAAAAGAATAAATAAATGCATAAATAAATATGGAAATAAATACTTGAATGTATAAATAAATAAAAGTAGAAAATAAAACAGAACACACGTTATTATATTATCTTTAATATATTTCTACATTTACGGTCACATTTATTTATTTATGTATTTCTGTGTCCGTATGCTAATGAGGTGGGCGGTCCTAACCTCAGTCTGAAGCAGGATAAATAAATATATTTATTAAAACACGTATTTATTTACCTTTAATTGAATGCATTCTTTAATGTAGCACAACCCCAACTCACCCCTTGATAGCCCCAGTTTCCTGCCTGTGCTAAAGTAAGATGAACCTCCCCTCCCCCTCTCAGCAGTATTTGGGGGGGGGGGGGGGGGGTCAGCTGCTCAGTGTATTTATGGGCAGGGTGAAAATGTAAAAATGTCTCCAGTGACGCCTCAGCAGAAGGTTTCTAAAAACAGACGTGACACAGCGAGGCCTCTGGAGCTCTCACTCTCTCTCTGCTCACTGCTCTGATACTTTGGGTTAGTTTGCGTTAGTTTGCGTTAGTTTGCGTTAGTTTAAGAGTTAAAGCAGTGGATTAATCTACTGGCTTCCACTATGAACTCCATGGAGAACCTGGAGAAGCAGCTGATCTGCCCGATCTGTCTGGAGATCTTCACCAAGCCAGTGGTGATCCTGCCCTGCCAACACAACCTCTGCAGGAAGTGTGCCAACGACGTGTTCACGGTAAAAACACTGCGTTCATATCCATCTAAATATATCTATACTTCTCTGGTTTGTTGTGTTTAAAGGTCACTAATATCAGAGAGGGTAGAGGTAAACACACGCAAGTAGAAGTACAGATACTCGTGTTTAAAAATACTCTGGTGAAAGTAGAAGTACTGACTAAACTTCTTCACTCAAGTCAAAGTAAAGAGGCTTTGAAGTGTACTTCAGTAAAAAGTACCCATAACTAGCAGCTGTTTTAAAGAGTACCTGACCTCCCTTTATATTAATAGAACAATAATGTCATTGTTAGCTAATGAATGTTTCCATGCTGAACAACGGCAACATGACAACGTTTCCATTGGTCCCTCTTGTTTATAAAAATAAATAGTGGAGTAAAGTACTGATACCAGAACAATGTACTTGAGTACAGTAACAAAGTATTTGTACTCCACTACTTCCCAGCTCTGCTCCCTGCTTTAAATCAATCTAAATACTTCTATATTTCT